AGGTTAACGTGTCAAGCTCACATTCTACACTGTCATGGTTCGACTCCCGCTGGGGGTGTTGATAAGACCGATACGAGGTCTAAACTGCAGTCCACTTCAGCCTGGATGAGAAAAACTTTTGTTAAGGCAAGCCTATGTGAAATTTAATGGAAACGTCAGCTCTACTCATATCATTGTGGGTAAATTATACTACCAGTGCTTCACCACCTTAGAAACGAAATAGGATGAATACATCTCATAAAAGCTCAGTCAGTCTTCGTCCGAAACATTGAAAAATATCTCGAGTACTGCATCAACCTAAACGTCGTATTAAAACCAAGCGACTGTATTACAAAGTAAATCACCTGGCCTCTTCTGGTGAGATGGACCTACGAATTCCTTTATCACGTACTTCCATACGCAATAAAAATCTTTACAATAATTAAGATCATTTTGGAAAGAGAATATTAAAGATGCATGCAAGTGCCGATATGATAAACCCGTGTTTTTCATAGAACACTTTTGTATTAATACATATTTGAGTACTGTATGAAAAACATTGATTATATTGAGAACTATTGTTAAATTAGGCTACCTGCATGTTCCTACTCATAAATATTGAGTTATCATTAAATTATTTCTTTACTATGCTATTATTTCCAACATTAATCAAATTTTGAACGACATCTTTGTGGAATTTAATTGCTAATATTAGTTTACTTTATCCACCCAAATTTATATGAGTTCAGGTTATACTGCAATGAATATAAGCTTGATCTTCATTTGACTCATTAGTACTTGAGGAGTCTTTATTAGCCATAAGTTGGCTACACATGATGATTTGATGTCGCTTTCCTCTGTGTTTGTTGTAGATAGTTGAGCAAGCCTTGAAGAAAAATACCTTTTAAGAAACAAGGCTAAGTGAAATTCAGTAGCAAAACTATCAAAGCAAACAATAGATTATAGAATCAAATTGCATAAAGCCCACAATAAAAGCAACTTCACAGGCATGAACCTTGTTTATTTTAGTAAATCTGACCTCGAGAACTGCAGGTTGTGCCAATGTGAAAAGTAGGTCAGACTTATATTGTATTCGAGGCAGGATTTCGTAATTGTGTGGTTTATGTACCATGATAGTATCCAATGGGCACTGAAATGATCGATCTGTCAAAGTTGACTTTGGGGTAAAGTGTGATCTTCATTGGAAGTTAAAAACATAACTGAGGATTAAAACGATATAGACTTTATGCAGAATCTATGCATACAAACATCTCTGGAGAAAGGCGCTAGCAGCCGTGCTGGAGAGCTTGGACCTTGAAACCGAGGGGATGAGGAGGGAATCGGTACCGTGACTAGTCAGCCTGACAACAAGAACTATCCACTTAAAATTCAACGGCAACATCTATGCCCAGACATTTGGACTTTTTATGGGAATGCCGCTCTCACATCTTTTTGCAAGCGTATGCATGAACCAATTAGAAGAGAACTTCATGTTGGCACTGCAGCAACCAGGAGTGCCAATGTAGTATCTGGACGACAACTTCGCATTTTAATTTCATGGCAGAGAAAAATTTGAAGATTTCCTGAAGTTTATAAACCAGAAATAGAAAAGAATCAAATTTGTAGTAGAAGTAGAGGAAGAGAAGCGCTTACCTGTCCTGGATATTGAAATTATTCGCTCTAACGGGACACTCAAGAAGAAATTGTTCAAAAAGAAGTCTTTTAGCAGAATAATACTCAATTTCCACTCCCATCACAAATACAGACTAAAGATAAGTATAATGAGGCGCATGATCATCAGAAGTTTACGATTAACGGGCTTCGAATTCGGTGATGAAGAATTGGACAAATTGCCATACATATCCCTCGACAACGACTACACCAGAGCGTAATAGAAAGAAAGATACGGGCCGTGAAAAGTCGATGGCAGGATGGGGATTATGGAGGAAAGGTAAAGGGGGAGAAAGGCTCACAAAAGTGGATAAGCCTTCCTTGCCGCGAATAAGCTCAAAAACTACGGCCAATATTGAGAAAATTTAAAATTTGGGTAAACACAAAAGACAAAGCAACACTCTTCACAAACTTATCCACGCAACATGAGAAGAGATAGAAAGTAGATTGCTCGGACGTTATTGACAAAATAGGAAGAAAATTCAGCATACGAATCAAGGAACATCAAAGGCTCTGGAGGAAAATGAATAACAAAAGATCAGAAATAGCGGAACACTTTGCACGAGATCATTTGCGAGACAACAGTAGGAAGGGATTCATACAGCGAAGACACAAGAAAACTGAAGCTTAGGGAGGCGATTGGCATCTTTACGAGAAAAAAAATTTAGGAGCAAGAGATTGGAAGAAGCCTATTGTCTAAGCAAAATTTGGAGAAAACAGGGATCGCAAGGAAGAAGCAGGTTAGGAAGTTTTAGAAATCAAAAGGAGATGTTTCCAGTGAGTGCAATCTGCTCGAAGGAACAACTACAACTTTGTGGGCCTGGCGGTCGCAGGACTAGGGAGATGGATAATCATAACCTTCACAGAAATTTGACACTATGGCTAGTAGAAAAAAAACAAATTGTCTTGAACTTGACTTGAGATGAGGCAATATACCCGGGATGAACTTTCACAGTTTGCTGTGGGTACATGAGTTGAGTTGCAGAGATTGGCCGTGGAGACAATGTCTGATACCAGCAAGCTTGAGAATCAGAGCTTGGGCGCTCTGCTCGGAGGCGAGATAATGTGTGCCGACAGAGTATTGGGGCAGAACCTGAGAAATAGTGCCTAGAGTAAAATGTATTATTTGCGACTGGAACCGAGGGAAAATAGTCAACCAGAAAGAAAAATAAGAAAGAGGAAGATTCGAATAGGAGGTCCGGATAGGTGGTTTTACTAGGATCTGCAATTCCTGTAGTGGTATGCATCCCTAAATTCGTCGAAAAGGGAACACCGAAGGAATCGAATAAATATTAACAACTTGTGACAAGCAGTGAGTGATAAAGATGGATAGGGAGTACGTAGATGTACTACGGCAGGAGGGTGACTGATAACGCAACCGTTCGGCAGAACATTGGTCAAAGGATTGATCCTACTTGTCTCTGACTCATTATTGCTAAATCCAAAGACTGGCAACGACTGACGAGGCCGACGCAACGCTTGGGAATGCAACCAGGCCCAAGGTGTAACCTTGGCACTCCTCATAGCTCCTAAATCACAAGATTGCATACAACTTGTGTTCAAATAGATCGCCATGACAACACGATCAAGTAGCGTAAATAAGGTCAGAACACTTCTCTAGAGCGAAAGGGGTCTGCAGACTGTACAGTACAGGCTTGAGAAACCCTTGCTCTTTGCGAATAGGTTGTACCGATGAGCGAAGTGTATAGAAATAAATATTTGAAAAAAATGGTTCCATTCATGAAAGTACAGAAGCGATGCGTACTGAAATGTATAGAACAGTTTTTAAATAATGTATTTTCAACTATACTTAAAAGTATGGCTGATGACACAAGCTGCAAACTCCATATTTTGATACATGCGACGTTTGGCAGAAAAGCATGCATTGATCAGATCAAATTAATATGATGCTTCGGCTAAATACTCACTTCCTGTTTGCGATAACT